TTTAGGAGAAGGGAACAGACCGGGAAGGCAATTAGGAAAGGGATTCTTGAGGTTTTTAGGAAACAGATACAGACTAGGAGACATTTTAGGAGAGACACAATGAGCAGACATTTAGGGAGGTTGGGGGAAGAAACTGTCCAATATGAACACACACATTCAGTACACACACACTGCCAATACATACATCCATACACACACAGACAGACTGCCAATACATACATACACACGCAATGCCGATAGATAGATAGATACATACATTCACACACACACAGACTGCCAATACATACATCCATACACACATACTGCCTAATGTGTACATCCATACATGCACGCTGCCTAATATATACTTTCAACCATACACGCTCCCTGCCCATTATATACATACTTCCTAATACATTCATCCATACTCACATACTGCCCAACACATACATCCATACACACATACTGTCGAACACATAAATCCATACGCACATACTGCCTAATACACACATCCATACGCACATACTGCCCAACACATATATCCATACGCACATACTGCCCAACACATACATCCATATGAACATACTTCCTAACACATACATCCATACGCACATACTTCCTAATACATATACATTTTACATTGAATACATTCATGGTTGTTATAAATAATGTATTTAATTTGTAGCGGATGGCACTGGGCTGTCCTGAGAATTATATAAGTTTTGACTGCATTCGTGTAAATGGCAAAGTTATATGTGTTAAATTGTATTCGTCTGATTGTTCGGTAGAATCATTCCCACAACTAAGGGAATGAAACTACCAAACAGTCAGACCTCCCTGGTGTGAAGTGTGCCTTCAATTACCCGTTGCAACATTGTTGTGAACGGGTAATTGACAAGCTGAGTAGCAGTCCTTTGTTCTCGGGGGTGGCCGCCATTCGGGAAACGAACACATGGCAGTGGCCATTTTAAAACTCCCGAACAGCGGTGTTTTGCAGTCGAGTGTCTGGAACTCAAATCGGACACTCGACTAGGCGAACACCGCTGAGACCTCCACAAGCCCGGTCCGTTCGGTTCCAAACTACCGAACGGCCCCTCGTTCGGTAGATAGAAACAACCGAACGAGGGGATTCTGGCGAACCCTCCCTAGTCTCTGTAACTGGAGGCTTTTGTGTAGTTTGTTCCCTTGTTCCAGGACCGACCGCAGGGCCCCATCGCATGAAACCCCATTCGGCTATTCTTTCCAGCACGGTCGGTCCTTTTATTCCCTCCATAAATTTCCCGAACCCCTGGTCTGATCTGGGTGATTTTTGGATATGTTGTTCACCCAGATCAGGGCTACCAGGGGATGTATAATTTAAAGTGGTACCCCTAGGTTTAGGGGTACATCCAGAAACGGGGGGAATTGGTGTCCTGGATAAGGGGATTATGATGCAGGCTGAGGGTAGGAGATGTGTGGGAGGTTACCAGAACAGGATTGGCTACTGTATTAATGACTGTAAATCCCTCCCTTGCATGGGAGCATGCTTTATAAGGCCACTGTCTGAATAAATCTTTAGTTCTGCTCCTTATACTGTGTGTCATCCAGTTATTGGGATTGCTGCAGGACCTATGACTGCTGAAACATGAGTTAAATGGAGATACCAGATTATTCCTCATGAGAAAACAATGTCTCAATTCACAAGAGATGAAGAAAAAGAGGAACCTTCAGCAATATCATAGTTAATGATGACAGGGACATGGAATGAATCCATATTCATTCATATCTATTTGAAGTAAGTCACATTGTTCTACTAATTGCATCAACATTTGCACTGGTGTAATGTTTGTAGCTGGAGAGAAAATTTATTTGTAAACAGTTTCCTTTATTTGATTATAACCTTTAGCAACATATTTGGCCTTGCATGTTTCTGATCAGTTAATTTTGTTCTTTATCACATACCGTTGCAAGAAAAAGTATGTGAACCCTTTGGAATGATATGGATTTCTACACAAATTGGTCATAAAATGTGATCTGATCATCATCTAAGTCACAACAACAGACAATCACAGTCTGCTTATGTGTTATTTTGCCTGCTGGATACTTTGCCCTATGGATTTATAATTGCTTGTTCCTGAGCCTCCCTGATAATCACAGTCTGCTTATGTGTTATTTTGCCTGCTGGATACTTTGCCCTATGGATTTATAATTGCTTGTTCCTGAGCCTCCCTGGGATCCAAAGTGGAGACTGCAGGCAGTCACACACAGACAGCCACACAAACACACAGACATAGAATGTGACAGCAGATAAGAACCATTCGGACCATCTAGTCTGCCCAGACAGTCACACAGGCAGACAGCCACACACAGGCAGACAGCCACACACACACACGCAGACAGTCACACACGCAGACAGTCACACACGCAGGCAGTCACACAGGCAGGCAGTCACACAGGCAGGCAGTCACACAGACAGGTAGTCGCACACACACACACACAGGCAGGCAGTCACACAGTCAGACAATCACACATACTTACCTCTGTCCCTTGTGGAGGCAGACAGGCAGTGCAGCGCCTGGATTCTGGTTGTAGGGGGACGCAGGGACTCCTTCCTGCTTCCCCTGCAGCAGTTACACAGCATTTTAGCTCCGTCCTGCCGCACTGTAAGCCCTGCCCCGCCGCAATGTTTCTTTTTTTTAATCCCTGGCCGGCCATGTGTGAGCTGTGCGGCCGCACGGCGCCCCCTGCTTCATGGCACCCTGTGCAGCCACACAGCTCTCACACCCCTATGCCGGCCCTGCACACACACACACACAAACACATGCAGGCAGTCACACACAGACAGCCACACACAAACACACACACACAGACATAGAATGTTACGGCAGATAAGAACCATTTGGCCCATCTAGTCTACCCAGACAGTCACACATAGGCAGTCACACACACACAGGCAGACAGCCACACACACACAGGCAGACAGTCACACACACACAGACAGTCACACACACACACACAGACAGTCACACACGCAGACAGTCACACACACAGGCAGACAGTCACACACACACATGCAGACAGTCACACACACACACAGGCAGACAGTCACACACACACACACAGGCAGACAGTCACACACACAGACAGTTACACACACAGACAGTCACACACACAGACAGCCAAACACACAGACAGTCACACACACACAGGCGGGCAGCCACACACACATGCAGACAGTCACACACACACAGTCACATACACACACAGGCAGACAGTCACACACACACACAGGCAGACAATCACTCTATTCCTTGTGACAGACAGTGCAGCTCCTGGATTCCGGTTGTTGGGGCAAGCAGGGACTCCTTCCTGCTTCCCCTGCAGCAGTTACATGGCATTTTAGTTTCGCCCCGCCGCATGGTAAGCCCTGCCCCCGCCGCAATTTTATTTATTTTTTTAAATCCCCAGCCGGCCATTTGTGAGTTGTGCGGCTGCACGGTGCCCCCTGCTTCATGGCGCCCTGTGCGGCCGCACAGCTCCCACACCCCTAAAGCCGGCCCTGAACACACCACACATAACACTTCACTGCTGCATACTCAGAGGAAGAAGCAAGGCTAAAATGTTAATGTACCACATTGAGGGCACCTTAAAATCACATCCACAACACATGGGTATCTGAAAATTGTGGTTCAGTTAATAGTTTTATGCTTATAAGAGCTGATATCTGATCTACATCTACCGGACAACTTTGCCGTGCTTCCCTATGACATGAACAGTATTTTTGTAGAAACACAGAGTTAGGGGGTAGGAACAGGAAGGCAACTGTGACATCATGTACACAGTGTCACATCCTGTTCCTAGCTGCAGATCATTCTGGCAATGGCTTCTGGTATCCAGTACTCTTTACAATTCTTGTTTAGTTTTAGTTTTTTTCTGGTTTTCTATTCTATGTCTGGTTTTCTTTATGCTGGGTTTCCTGTGTTTATTCCTTTATTCCGTTCCTGGAATTCCCAGTCTCTTGGATTCCTTTAAATGTTTGTTTTATTTTGCCACACCGGTTCCTTTTCCATGATTCCTTTTGTTTCAGTTGGTCCCTGCAGGCTCAAGTCCTCTGCCTTTTCTTGCAGGTAAGTGCTGTGTGTGTTTTATTATTGTTCATTTAGCAGACATTAGGCAGTTAGAGTAGGACCTGCCTAATATGGGGTACATTGACATTGTGACATGCTTATGCAATGTATGATCATATAATGTTACTACAGTAATAAACTGCCTACCAGCTCTTGATACCTTTTATGCAACTACAGAATTGTTCTGATAATCATGGCCTAGTTTTTCTTCACATAGTCTTGAACTGGTGTTGAATCTGTTATACAAAACTTCTACAGAACCTTTGATATGTATCTTTTTTGATTTAACTTTACCAAACCATCACATTTTTCAAAATTGACACTTAGGAAATGCTTGATTCTTCTAATATCATTCATCTTAAATGTAGCTTAAAGCATTCTTTTTATATCATTGTGTAATGTTTTATTACTGGCACCATATTATTAACATTACTTTCTCATCTTCGTGTATTTTGGCGTTTAAGCAGCGGTCTGCTGGATTTTGTTCAAACCCATTTTTCATGCAGCATCTTATTCCAATTTCGACCGGATTGCTTTGCAACATAAAGAGGAAAAATACTGGAGGCAAAAAGAAGAAAGTTCCAAATGATGGGCACATAATTTAAATGTGAGAATACATTAAAAATAGGAGAGACGGGGGCGGGGCCGAGCGGCCATGCTAGCAGGCTGCAAGTCACTATGGCTCCTGAGGAATTTAGCTAAAATCGGGCAAATCCCCTCTCAACTCAGCTTGATACACCCTGGAAATCCGTGGTACAAGATCCTGGAGTGTCCCGGTGCAGCTAGAGCACCTGACATTGGGTGGTTCTGGGTCCCGGTGAGATGCTCTGGGGCTTGGAGACTGAGGCCTACCTGGGGGGGGGGGGAGTGGAGCAGACGGCCGCTGCTTTGCTTTTCCCCCCGGCTGCAGAGAACCACAACGCGACTGGAGCACTCTCGGCCCCGTTCACCCCCCCCCTTTGGACCGGTGGGGGTTATCCCGGTCCCCACCAGACAAGCAAACACCCACAAGGCACTCCTGGGCGACGACTGCCACGCGGCCTCAACAAAATGGCCGAACGTGCTGTAACTGCCCCACAGGCCACTGGAGAAGAGCCGCGCAGACCGCGCCAACTGAGAACACCTTACCTCAGCCTCCTACTACCAAGACCGCAGACCATCACTGGGGTAAGGCACTGAAAAGCTGTCCCCTTGAAAAGCTGTCCCCTTGTAACAGCTAGGTCGCACCGCTACCGGCACCTGGACAAGGTGATCTGGTCAGCATAGGACCTGCACTCACCCCACGACGGGGTCACACGACCGCATCGACCTCTGGACACTGTGCCCTGCAGCGTGTCGCCGGGATCCAGTGGACTTAGAGAGACCTGCGGGGTGTATCCCCATGCCTAAGAAGAGGATGCCTACTAATAAGCTTCCATAAAGTAAGCAAACGGAAGACATAAAAGGCACAAACCGCAGAACTCACCGCAGGCAGCCTCACCAAGGGACACTCTGGCAGCATTCACCGCTACATGGAGGAACATATATTCTAATAATGTTACAGTCAAACCTGCAATACACAACGGTCTCTAACACCCTGACTCTTGCAGTGGATAACCCAATGTGTCATGATCTGCCTGATGGTACTCTATTGTACTCTATTCTACTTTCGTTTACTGCATTTTACTTTACTTTATCTGAATAATAGCCCTAGCTAAGATACTTGTATAAAAACGTCTGTACACTTGCCTGCTTATCATATAATTGCACTAATTACACACCCAGCTACAGACCCCAAGCAATTTATTAGCTAGTTAGGATGCGGTTCTATTCAGCATGCTATTAACCTAAGTCAGACATATTAATTAACTTCTTGTAATCATAACCCATGCTAATGTAACTCGTACTTACTAACATTCTGATCTAAGCAACATTACTTTAACATTTCAAAATGTGCTGATAATCTCAATGCTCCAACTGTTATGCCTGAAAATTATGCTCGGGGAATGCTATTGGGGCACCACGAGCTTGTATGTTATTTACTCAAAGCACGATAAAAATAAAGAATTAAAAAAAAAAAAAAAATAGGAGAGACACGTGCAGGACCTATGACTGCTGAAACATGAGTTAAATGGAGATACCAGATTATTCCTCATGAGAAAACAATGTCTCAATTCACAAGAGATGAAGAAAAAGAGGAACCTTTATTTCAGCAATATCATAGTTAATGATCACAGGGACATGGAATGAATCCATATTCATTCATATCTATTTGAAGTAAGTCATATTGTTCTACTAATTGCATCAACATTTGCACTGGTGTAATGTTTGTAGCTGGAGAGAAAATTTATTTGTAAACAGTTTTCTTTATTTGATTATAACCTTTAGCAACATATTTGGCCTTGCATGTTTCTGATCAGTTAATTTTGTTCTTTATCACATACCGTTGCAAGAAAAAGTATGTGAACCCTTTGGAATGATATGGATTTCTACACAAATTGGTCATAAAATGTGATCTGATCATCATCTAAGTCACAACAACAGACAATCACAGTCTGCTTAAACTAATAACACACAAAGAATGAAATGTTGCCATGTTTTTATTGAACACACCATGTAAACATTCACAGTGCAGGTGGAAAAAGTATGTGAACCCTTGGATTTAATAACTGGTTGAACCTCCTTTTGACAGCAATAACTTCAACCAAACGTTTCCGGTAGTTGCAGATCAGAGGTGCACAACGGTCAGGAGTAATTCTTGACCATTCCTCTTTACAGAACTGTTTCAGTACAGCAATATTCTTGGGATGTCTGGTGTGAATCGCTTTCTTGAGATCATGCCACAGCATCTCGATCGGGTTGAGGTCAGGACTCTGACTGGGCCACTTCAGAAGGCGTATTTTCTTCTGTTTAAGCCATTCTGTTGTTGATTTACTTCTATGCTTTGGGTCATTGTCCTGTTGCAACACCAATCTTCTGTTGAGCTTCAGCTGGTAGACAGATGGCCTTAAGTTCTCCTGCAAAATGTCTTGATAAACTTGGGAATTCATTTTCCTTCGATGATAGCAATCCGTCCAGGCCCTGACGCAGCAAAGCAGCCCCAAACCATGATGCCCCCACCACCATACTTCACAGTTGGGATGAGGTTTTGATGTTGGTGTGCTGTGCCACACATAGTGTTGTGTGTTTCTTCCAAACAACTCAAGTTTGGTTTCATCTGTCCACAGAATATTTTGCCAGTACTGCTGTGGAACATCCAGGTGCTCTTGTGCAAACTGTAAACGTGTAGCAATGTTTTGTTTGGACAGCAGTGGCTTCCTCTGTGGTATCCTCCCATGAAATCCATTCTTGTTTAGTGTTTTACGTATTGTAGATTCGCTAACAGGGATGTTAGCATTTGCCAGTGACTTTTGTAAGTCTTTAGGTGACACTCTAGGATTCTTCTTCACCTCATTGAGCAGTCTGTGCTGTGCTCTTGCAGTCATCTTTACAGGACGGCCACTCCTAGGGAGAGTAGCAGCAGTGCTGAACTTTCTCCATTTATAGACAATTTGTCTTACCGTGGACTGATGAACAGCAAGGCTTTTGGAGATACTTTTATAACCCTTTCCAGCTTTATGCAAGTCAACAATTCTTAATCGTAGGTCTTCTGAGAGCTCTTTTGTGCGAGGCATCATTCACATCAGGCAATGCTTCTTGTGAAAAGCAAACCCAGAACTGGTGTGTGTTTTTTATAGGGCAGGGCAGCTGTAACCAACACCTCCAATCTCATCTCATTGATTGGACTCCAGTTGGCTGACATCTCACTCCAATTAGCTCTTGGAGATGTCATTAGTCTAGGGGATCACATACTTTTTCCACCTGCACTGTGAATGTTTACATGGTGTGTTCAATAAAAACATGGCAACATTTCATTATTTGTGTGTTATTAGTTTAAGCAGACTGTGATTGTCTATTGTTGTGACTTAGATGATGATCAGATCACATTTTATGACCAATTTGTGCAGAAATTCATATCATTCCAAAGGGTTCACATACTTTTTCTTGCAACTGTACATCCATCGACCTCCCTCTGAAAATTTAAGTTCTGAAAAAATGGCCAAAATGAATGTGTTGTTTTTCTAGTTTGTACTAGACAATGGCATTTGATACGGTTCCTCACAATAGGTTAGTCTTCAAACTAAAAGAAATTGGTCTAGATGAATATTCTTGTTCTTGGGTAGAACATTGGCTTAAGGATAGAGTACAATGAGTTGTCATTAATGGTAAATTTTCAAGCTGGACAAAAGTGGTAAGTGGTGTCCCTCAGGGTTCTGTTTTGGGACCGCTTCTATTTAACATATTTATAAATGATCTTGAAATGGGCATTGAAAACCATGTATCAGTATTTGCAAATGACACAAAACTTTGTAAAGTAATAAAATGTGAGCAGGATATTGCCTTGCTGCAGATGGATTTGGATAGATTGGGGGACTGGGCACTAAAATGGCAGATGAAATTTAACGTAGAGGAATCTGACAGGAATTGTGGGAAAAGACAAAGTAATCTTGATATGACTGAATGCACCCATGGTATGAACTTCATTACAGTAACTATACCTATGGGACTGGTCCTCCATACCTAGAAAGGTGGGGAGCTGAAAGGACCTAGTACGAAATCATGATCTACTTCCTTGTGTAGCAAGTTATTGACAATGTTAGTGTTAGCAAGAGCAGTCTGTAAGTTCTCGACTATCCCTGATGGCATATAAATGATACCCATGTGAAATCCTTCCATAAACCCAGCCACCAGAAATTCTACCAGATGTGGTGAGGGGTGGTTGTACAACAATTACTGTAGCAGTGAGATATTGACAGTCGATATAATTAGTTGGGTATAATTTATTAGGGCACAAAGTCTTGGCATGGGTCCGGAAAAATATAAAAGAGTGATGATGCTCAAATGGTGAGTGCTTCGTGGGACTGAAACATAACATGCATCTACATGATTGATTGCATACCTCTAACGACCACCTAACCACCCCCAGAGAGTAAATAAAGTATGGTAGAGAGATAACCGTACTTATAGTATGAACAAAAGAGACCTGGATCAACTTGAGTAGTACAATAGAAATACCTAGAAAAGGAAACACAATTGCAGGTTTATTAATGAGTCTTAAGCACAAGTAATCAGTACTATGTTGTATGACATAAACCAATTTAACATGGTGGCAAAACTTAACTCTATCTGTGCGTTATGAAAATTAACCATCAGAGACACTGCCAAAACGCAATAGAGAAACAACCATTCGTATGAAAATCGTGTGTATTAATGCTAACATTGGCCGTTCGGTTGAAACATATACGATCGGCCCTAGTGATGGCTAATAAGGTTGAGAATATCACCGAACGTTTTAAACCAAGAAACATATGTGAAATGCAGTGCAGGAATTACCGTACAATCGTTATCAATTCATATGTCCAACTGGAGTGTTCATGCGCATGCTCCAGGCAATATTTAACCTTTCGTATGGCCACAAAAGACCTGACATTAAACCGAACATAGAAGCACGAAAGGAGAGGAAGTATAATGCTGTACCAGGATGACGCTGTGCGCCTACGACTAGTGACTTACAGTTTTTATGACACGGGTCGCGGCGCAATTGTTGCGTGAACAGAAGTTCTGGGACTTGAGTTGAGGCAGATATCCCGGTATCGAAGCTGTTCCTGGAGGATGTTTTGGCGGTCAGGAAGCAATGAAATAGATGACCAGGGGCTGCAGACCAGGTACACATTCCCACAAGGTGAAAGGTAAGTAAATGGCGGTTTGCACGGACCGGAAGTGACGGTATTTAAATCGCAAGTACTGAGACAGTAGTGAGGAGGTGATTGGTTCTCCTTAAGAAGTGAAATAGGCCCCTCCCACAACTTTAGGCCCAGTCTTCTATCTCTCTCTCTCTCTCTCTCTCTCTCTATATATATATATATATATATATATATATATCTATCTCTATCCAAAAATTAGTAGACCTCTTGCACTCCTACTATAAAAATATTGTATACCTGGTGCCAAGTCACAGAAAATATAAATATATGAAAGAATACCGGCACTCTAGGATTACTTCATCCGTTTTAATTCTCAGTTGATCCAAAGATGTCAACGTTTCAGCTCCCAATCGGAGCTTTCATCAGGACACGATTGTGTCCCAGAATCAAGAATATACCCACTATAGGCAGAACTAAACCACAAGTC